GCAGGGCCCGCAGGCGGACGCGAGGGCGATTGTCTAAGGAGCGGCGAAGCGCACATCCATCCGCAGGGGCTGGGAGTGGAGACAATGAAGGAAGGCACTGGTTCAGAGCCACCCCCCTTCTGCACGAGCCCAGGATGAGGGCATGGAGGGGCAGAAATAAGGAGATGGAGCCCTCCCCACCTCTGGGAAAAGAAAGGCTGCAGACCCCTTTCCCGTCCCAAACTGGGACTCCATGGTCCCCTCCCCACGGGTTGTGGCCGACATGCTGGGGGAAGGATTGGTCCACGTGCTGTGTGATACAGAAAGTCCCCGATCTGCTCTTACTTGACAGTGTCTCAGAGCGAAGGAAAAGACAGACCGCATTCTCCCTGATCCCTGCAGCGATCGCGGCTTTGGAGGACCAGGCACTGGTTGGGACCAAGTGCGTTCAGTAAATTCATCTGCAGCAGCGGGTGCTGCAGGTATGTGCGGTGGTGGTTCTCTCTGGATCAGTGACTGATAGACAGCTGTCAGGTAGAGAGCTCGGTCCTTAGGCTGGACGGAGGTGGCAGTGCTGCGGGTGAGGGTTAGGGCATCTCACCATGGCTTCTTTTCCGTGTCCAGGGACCAGACACACTGAGGACGATGCGGCTATAGCAGATGACCATGGCAGTCAGTGGCAGCAGAAAGAGGCAGCCGAAGGTGAAGAGGTTATAGGTGGTCTCCTGCCATTGAGCCTGGAAGCTGCCTCTGGTGACGCACTGTGTGAAAGGGACGGGGCCAGCCCGGCGGACCGTGTGGAACAGGAACAGCTGCAGTGGAGTTGAGTTCTATGAGAAGTGGCCCCACCCCGCACCCTACCCTCCTCGGGTCGGGCATCGCTGCCAACTAACCAAACACCACCCAGCGAGCTGAGCAGCGGGTCACCCACCTTTTGAAAGTTAGCAATGTATCTTGAAAATCTCTTCACTCTCCTTGAGGCTGAAACACGGAGCTGTCGGCTAAGTTTGTGAAATGCCACCCCCTCACCACCAATTTTTGCTTAAATTATTTTCCAGGTGTCCATGGTGAATTCTGTGTGTGTGTGTGTGTGGAGGGGGGTAATCTTGTATAAAATGGGTGCTAACACCAGCCTGTGTGATCATGAGGT